AAGGAGCAACATATGCTAAAATTGTTTCAAAATATTTTGGAAAAGTTGTTTATTGCATCTATTGGTGGTCCATATTTAATATCTAGTGGTTCCTTTAAAATGGTCACAATACTCTTTCTAATCTACGTTCCTTCTTGTTTTTTTCTTTTATTGAATATTTTCATCATTTACATTTCAAATGTTATCCCCTCTCCAGGTCTCCCCTCTGGAAACCCCCTATCCGATCCCCCACCCTCTGCCTCTGTGAGGGTGTTCCCCTACCCATCCACCTATTCCTGCCTTCCCTGCCCAGGCATTCCCCTACTCTGGGGCATCGAACCGCCACAGGACCAAGGGCTGCTCCTCCCACTGATGTCCAACAAGGCCATCCTCTACCACATTCGCAGCCAGAGCCATGGCCCTCCATATGTACTCTTTGGTTGGTGGTTTAGTCCCTGGGAGCTCTGGGGTTCTGGTGGGTTGATATTGTTGTTCTTCCTATGGGTTGCAACCCCCTTCAGCATCTTTAGTCCTTTCTCTAACCCCCATTGGGGACACTATGCTCAGTCCAATGGTTGGCTGTGAGTGTCCACTTCTGTATTTGTCAGGCTCTGGCAGAGCCTCTCAAGAGACAGCCATATCAGGCTCCTGTCAGCAAGTACTTCTCTGCATCCGCAATAGCATCAGGCTGAATTTGGGATGGATCCCCAGGTGGGGAAGTCTCTGGATGGCCTTTTCTTCAGTCTCTGCTCCACACTTTGTCTCCATATTTCCTCTTGTCAGTATTTTATTCCAACTTCTAAGAAGCACTGAAGCATTCCTTCTCACTTCCCCTTTTTGGAGATAGCTATATTAATCTGGTGTGGGGCAGGGAGATAAATCAGAATGGTTTTAGGACGCAATGCTGTAGATTCAAGTTTGTATTTACCTTTCCACTGAAGTCATGACAGTATTCTATGTTCACAAATGAAATTTCAGAGAGGAGAAAGCAGCATGTGCCCAACCGCAACCTTTGCAAACAGTCTGCATATATGATGCTTATGGCAAACACATTGCAATGTTAAGGACTTAGTTTTTGTTGAGCCACAAAATATTTAAAACAACATTGCTTGAGTAATCTACAAATCTAACAAACAAAACGTTCCACATTTAATGTGGATACTTATGTTTTCTTTCTCAAATGCTTCCTGACAATCATTTACCCTTTCATTTTTAACTTATAAAACTGACTGTGTGTTCTCTTGTTTCTCTTCAACTCTATTTTATTACTTTTAACATTCTTGCTCCACGTCAGGTTCATATTTGTCTATACTGAGTTCTAGTTCCCTTCCTCCCATTTCCCTGCCTCAGGCTCACTCTTTCTCTTACCAAAACCTTCCTAATTTTGTGTCTTTATTTTCTAGTGCTTTAAGATACTTTTTTTAAAATGAGAGTTATTCTCATCAACCCAAGGAGCGATTACAGAATTCAGCCAGTTCTCACACAGAACCAGACAGACCACCAGTGACTATGATCCCATTTTCCTAGATTTTATACTTATGTATTTCAAATGGTGAGACATACACCAGCCTTGGCTGCTCTGAGCAACTTACTTGTTTCTTGTAAAGAGGGGAGTAAGATGGAATGACAAAGGGACATTTTATAACATGCTTTACAGGTTGCCAATTAAGACACTTCTGTAATATATATTTTAAGGCTAATATATGATCTGGGTTCACACCTGTGTGCTTTTCTGCAGAACAGGTGGATGTGTGTATATCAAACTCAAAGAGTACAAGTAACTTGTATGGCATATATCTATTTAGTTTATCGACCTGTTCACAATTCTACAATTTTACGCTCCTCGTCTCTAAGCCTCATCTAGTACCATGTTCTTCTTTGTGGAGACTCTTATTTTAGGTGATGAATTTACTATTTTTTTCTTTTGTATGGAGGTATCTTTAGGTTAATTCTAAATGCTACTTTCCTTGGCATAAAAATCTATTGTTTTGTTTTAAGTCCACTAAAGAGAATAATTAATTTCCATTTGATGAGAAATAATCTTCTATTCCAATATTGTTATTTTTAAAATCGGTATATATTTCTCTCTAGTTACCTTGAGACTATTCTTTTAGATTTCTTTTGCTTGTTGTTTCTTGAGACAGGGTTTCTCCATGTAGCCTTGGCTGTCCTGGAATCAGCTCTGTAGACCAGGCTGGCCTCAAACTCAGAGATCTGTCTGCCTCTGCCTCTGCCTCCTGAATGCTGGGATTAAAAACATGTGCCACCATGTCTTCATTTTAGATATTTTTTTCCTGAGGTTTAGCTTTGATGTGTAGGAGTGAATTTCCTTATATTTCTCATGCAGTGCTTTTTATCAGTTTTGAGATGAATGTGAGTTTGCCCTGATCATTGTGTTACCCATGATCCTTATCTCTTCTCTGTTGCTGTGTTTCCTTTACTGATTTCTTTGTTGTTGACTCTGATGAATGTCTCCAGACTCACCCCTCTGCTGATACCATTATTGGTGCTTAGGTTTTAGCTACCCACTTTCATTTAGATCTAAATTTTAATTATTAGAAGTTGGAGGGGTGGGGTGGGAGGGGGTGGGCGGCCCCCCGAGGGAGCACCCTCATAGAGGCAAACGGGAGGGAGGAGAGGGAGGTTGTGGGATGGGAGCTTGTGGAGGGGTAACTAGGAAGTGGGATATCATTTGAGATGGAAATGAATGGAATGATTAATTTTAAAAAAAGAAGTTTGATCTATAAGATATATATCATATTCTTTCAAATATTCTATGTAGATTTTTATATTTCAGATTTTTGTTGAAAGTTTCATCCACATTTTATCTTTGAAACATTACCACCATAGTTATTGAAAAGGCTTTCATTAGTTCAAAAATATGGTCCAGGCTCTGTCTGATTGTTCATTGTTCCTACATCTTTACTTGCATTTACTTGTGATCTTTTTAGTGTCTGTTTGTGACTTTGCTTCCAGATGCTTTATTTGGAAGAAAAAAAAAAAGCTTGTAGCAATAATCTGAGACCTATATGATTTGATTTTCCTCCAAAAAATATTTATATCTGTTTCCATCATATACATGTGAGGACTTTAATCTCTAACCTGATATTATCTTAAACTGGTTTCAGAATTTCTTGATAATTTGACATCAGGCTTTTCCCCATGCGAGGTTGGTTAGACCTAGATCACTCTTGCTCCTCTGCATAAACCAGCTAGAGCACTACACAAGTACAAAGTTTTCCCAGTTACTCCTCTCAGAGAGCCTGAGCTTCACCTCCTGTCCTTCAAATTCCCAGGGCTGATGAAACCAATACTCAGCCACTTCTTGATTGACAAATGTCCCAGTGAAAGTAGTTCCAACTGTTTGGCTCATAGCAATGTTCTATCTTTCTAAGTCTCAGGGAGCATTGTGGAAGACAGGTGGAAGGAATATAAGAGCTAAGGAGGAGCGCTGTGAAATGCTGTCCTGTGGATATGATTGCTCATGCAAATGCACCGTAGCTACAATCAAGAGAGTTAAACACCCCAGCATGGAGTGGGAGGAGCTCCTGAGGCCCTGCTCCTTGCTGAAGAGCTATTGGTGATTTATAGCAGCTAAAAGAGCGAGCTGCTTTCTGAGGAGTACATACTAGTTTGTTGCCCATCCCCGGGGAGAATCCCACACTAATGTGCATATGGGTGACACTGTCTTACTGGTTAGTAAGAAAAGGAAGGCACTTGTTTAGTCTGGGCTCTCATGAGTGTGTAGTTGTGGTTTTGTGTAATGATCTCGATTTTCTCAAAAAAGAAGCTTCTTTGATGAAGGTGAAAGCTACACTTGCAACTGAATATTTGGAGTTAGGGAACCACAGATGAGAAGGAACATTCGGTGTTTACCTTTCTGGATCTGTGTTGCCTCACTCAGCATCATCTTTTCCAATTCCATCCATTTCCCTACAATACCACACTTTCAGTTTTCCTCACTGCTATATATCATCCCATTGTGTACACGCTACATCTTCTTTATCCAGTCATCTGTTGATGGATATAGGTTGTTTCCATTTCCTGGCTATTGTGAACAGGGCGGAGATGAACATGGGTGAGCATCTGTGGAGTAGAATGTCAAGTCCTTTGGGCATTTGCCAAAGAGTGTTATAGCTGGGTATTGGGTATAATTATTTAAGCTTTTGAAGATTCGTCACACTGATTTCTAGATTGGCTTCACTGATTCTCATTCCCACAATCAATAAATGAGGCTGCCATGCCCGATACCCTCACCAGTGTTTATTATTAGCCATTTATTGATCTTAGCTATTCTGACCAGGGCAAATGAAATCTCAAAGTAGTTTTAATTTGCATTTCTCTAACTGCTAAAGATGCTGAACACAGTTGAGGTATTCCTTAACCATTTTTATTTCTGTTGAAAACTCTCTGTTTAGATCCCTAGCCCATTGCTTCATGGGCTATTTAATATTTGGAAGTCTAATGAGTCATTTTTGTTCTTCAGAATAAAAACCCAATGGCTTGAACCAAAAACTCATCTACTTTCAGCCAAGCTTCTCCAAACACATAGAAACCCCCACCTCATAGAGCTCATGTTTGTGATTTTCAATTGAAACTTATTGAACGTACATTCTACATAATGTCGTGACAAAAGATTTTCAAATACCTCTAAAGCCTGAAGACTTGTGACGATGTAAAAAAAGGGACACTATTTTCACCTCAATGTACACAGCCATCTTTTGAAAACATATTCTGTAAATAATTCATGTAGCAACTTTTAATATCCAATAGAAGCCTAGGAGTTTTGTGTTTTTAAGTGATTTTAGAAATAATTGCCTTTTCTTTTTTTGTACTTGCAAAACCGATGATAATTAAGCCTCGGCTGGCACGAGAAATTGAAGTTCTGAGGTTTCAGTAAGTGAAAATGTACCCAGCACAGCCCCTTTCAGGACCTCGCAGAAAGAGGAGTTAGGAGATAGCCTAGCAACTACTTTGGAAAACAAACTATAAACACATGCAAAAATCAGTAACAAGGGCTCATGCCGTGCCATCTCAATTCATTCAGTAAACTGAAACACAAAGTTCTAACCATAGAAAGTGCTGTACCTAGAACTTGGCAGTTCTTGGAAGAGAAAGGTGAACAAGAATTAAGCCACGGTACGATGTAAGTAAATGGCATCCTGGAATTAAACGTAACAGCAAGAAAAGGTATAAAAGGGCAGTCAATCACGTGATAGCTTCTTAGGCAATAGACAGAGACTATTACAGAAAAGCACAACTGGTCAAAATACGGAGAATAAATAATCATGGATGTCCAGCTCCAGATAAACATCTACAATACAATACCTACATCTAAGTGTCAAGGACTATCATGGAAGAGGCAGCAGGAAGATTGTAAGAGCAAGAGGACTAAGAAGTCTGCTATAAGATTGTGTCTTCTGAATGTGACAGGTGTTAGAACATGACTGAAGAATGGAGTCCCGTGAGGAGAATTCTGAGTGCTTGTGAGAACGAACACTCCAAGGAAACTGAGTCTTGTTACCTCAGTTTCTTCAACACACAGAACTGTTCTTGGAGAGTGGGTTTGTGCACCTCACAGATGTAGCTGTTAGGAGTGAGTTTACTTCAGCTTAGTCATTATTGCTTGCTGTTGTTATTCAGTTATGTTTCTTGGAATGGTTCTGCCACAGGCAGGATGTTTCTGTGATTGCATACAGCTGAACTCGTGAGAACATATTCAGATTACCTCCTTTAACTCTCAGAGTATAAATTGTCTGGTGCTCTGAATAAAGATAGCTATTGCATATGACTTTAGTTTGCCTCATTTATCGGCTCCACTCTCCCAGCTTGCAGGACCTCCAGAGCAGAAGAAGACAGAGACGCAGACAGAGAAGCCACATCCATGAAATCTTAACAATATGGTTATATGAACAAGACCTGGACAAGACGACACTAGTTGACACGTTAATGTAGATGGAAAAATCTAATGGCACTCCACTCCTAGATGAAAAGCTGTAAGTGACCAGTGCCTGCTCAATAGAGGAGGAATTAGTGTTCCACAGGCATGAGACTCCTACATTGCTATCTAATACCGAGTGGTCAGCCCACTTGCTATATGTGTTGTGTATATATTAGACAGAATTAGCATGTTGCATTTATATATTTATTCACACGCACATATGTAATAAGAGTTTTAAAAAAGAGGCTGTGAATTTGAGAATTGAGTTGGGGGAGGCATGGAAGGTGTTAAATGGAGGAGATGGGGAGAGAAATAGTATGATTTTATTTTAACTAAAGCAAAAAAAGAAAGTAAGCATTGGGGGGTGATTCAGAACAGGGCAGAGAGTAGAGTGCTGAAGAATTCAAATACAACCCTTGAATGAACGTGGGCAGCTGCAGGTCTCATTACCAGCTTAAGACAGAGCAGGCACAGATGTTGAGTCAAGGCTGCAACATTTTGCCCTTTAGCCAGCATTTTCTAGGCAGTCTGTCCCGTCTTCAAGTTATTATTGTGACTCTTCCCTCACTGCCAAGGTCTTTGATATTTGGGAGAGATTTAGATTTTTGGAAAGATCTTCCAGTCTTCCAATTATAATGGTAGCCAATTTGGTGAGTAATTATTTCACCATGTTTCCACTAAGCTTGGTAATGATGCCTCAGAGGATGTAAACCTGAGGTTCCTTACTGTGCTTTCAAATTGTTTGCAAGGCCCATGGGGCAGCTGATTTCTTGGGCAGGTTTTCACATTACAGTAATCTGCTTTCCAAACTTCTGAAGTTCTCGGAGGAAACAGAACAAATGACCATCAGGAGCCAGAATTAAGACTCACATATTATGATGCCAGGAAGTACAAAGCACACATTCAAGAAAAGGTACCTTTTAAAGGAAGACTGTAACTTGTACTTCTCTCAAATATAACTTTCTCTCTTATGCTTTCCCTGTAAGGTTTACCTGTAAATCTGGTCAGTTTCAGCCACTTCTAGAACTCAACCAGGAGCCTCAGATATAGTGGCTATCCCATGAGTGTTTTAAGTGTTCATTGAATGAACTGCTGAAATCTGATGTCTGTGATGGTTGATTTTTAGGTGTCAACTTGATGGTTGTAAAGGCTGCTCACATGGCTGGTAAAACGCTATTGATGCTCTGTTTCTGTAGGCACTGAGGCAGTTCTGAATGGGATCCCAGGTGGACTTGCTTTGGATAGTAATGACTTCGAAGTCCTAAGTATGTCTGGAATGTCGTCCCTGGTAGACTATGAGGAAGATCTACCTTCAATTACTCATTTATTTGAGTCTTAGATTATACAAAGAGGTAGAAGAAGGGTGTGCACTCCCCACCCCATCTTGGCAACATAGCTTCTTTCCCCTCACGTTTTGCATCTCAGAGACACTGGTTTTCATCTTTGAAACTGACAATGGCACCTTCCCTACCTTGTCTTGTTGAGAGCTTTTGGTGCTGCTTCTAGGAATTTGGCACTCTTCACTGGGCTCAAACAAGGAAGTAGGCTCAAATAAGAATATCAGCAACAGTGGCGTGAGCGCCCAGGTCCTGTTACGGGCGGCCGGGGGAATCTTAGGGACCCAGGGCCGGGCACGCGGCAGTAACATCTAGGACGTTCGGAACTACAGGGTCAACGTGGTGTTTGTGGACCGATCTGGCAAGCGGATCCCGGTGAGGGGCAGAGTCGGGGATAATGTTCTGTACCTGGCCCAGCGCCACGGGGTGGATCTGGAAGGGGCCTTCGAAGCATCTCTGGCCTGTTCTACCTGCCATGTGTATGTGAGTGAGGCCCACCTGGATCTCCTTCCTCCTCCTGAGGAGAGGGAGGACGACATGTTGGACATGGCTCCACTGCTCCAGGAGAACTCGAGGCTGGGCTGCCAGATTGTGCTAACCCCTGAGCTGGAAGGAGTCGAGTTTACTCTTTCCAAGATCACCAGGAGCTTCTATGTTAATGGCCACATCCCCAAGCCCCACTGACATGAGGCCACCCGACTGACCAGAGCCATGGAACTGAAAAGAAAAACCATGCTTCCTACCACAGAGCATGGACTGCCCAGGAAAGAGAAGTTGGACCCACAGTGTGAGACCAGAGCTGCCACTGGGGACAGCCAGTGTCTGAGCCCTGAGGGGGATGGGTCTCCATCTTGGATGTGTCAGTCTACCAGAGAGAATCGAACTATAAATTAAGGATGGACTCAAACCAGAGCTGCAATAAAAAGTCACACATTAAAAAAAAAAAAAAAAGAATATCAGCAACAGTGACCATGGGGCTTTGTTTATGACTTTGCTGAATTACTACCTTACGTGATCTCTTTGCTTGCTACTTTAGTATTCCCTTGGGTGACCCTTTTGCTTACTACTTTACTTAATTACTATCTTGTGTGATCTCCTTGTTTACTGCTTCACTTGATTGCTTTGTCTTTGATCTCAGAACTGACCATGTGTTTCGGATATACCTAGAATGCTATAAAAGCAGACTGGCGCGACATAACGCTGCTTCAGCCTCAGTACGGGCTGGTGTCATGTTATAGTCTTGTCTGTTTTCCTTTTTCAATTCTCACTCCCTTTCTTGAGACCCTGTTGACTGACTGAACTAGCTTGGTCATTGCCTTCCCAGCTTTTGAACCTTTACACTCTAACTGATAATACTACCATCAACTTGCCTGGATCTAAGAGACTTGGACTGAGCGTTATCATGAAGTTCTGCTCTCCAGCCACAGGAGGACTACTTTGGGACTTCTTACATGGGGCTTCTCAGTGTCTGGAATCAAGTAAAAATAATTCCTCTAATACTCCCCTTTGCTCCCTGTTTCAGTGTGTATTTATTTAGTTCTGAACTAGGGAACTATGAATGAAACCGGGTGGAAACAAAATATTTTCAGTTTAAAGCTAGGAAAGCAGTAGGCTTGAAACGTACTCAGTATTGGCAGAAATGGTTCTTAGGTTCTCAGCTGAATTAAATACAGTATTTTATACAGAGACCAGGATTATCACTTTTCTCATTCCAAGTAATAGTTCTCCATCAGGCAAAACATAACACATACCATCACATCCATATAGCTCACTAACTCATAACTCAGGAAGCCCCCACTCATATCCGAAACCCATAATTTGTCTTAGGTCATTTCTGAAGAGGCTGAGACAGTTGGATGCATCAGGTGCTGCCTCTGCCTCTCCCTCTTCCTGTTCTTCTTTCTCTCCTTCACCTCCCTTCTTTTCCCTCATCTCTCTCTCCTGCTCTTTCCCTCATCTCTCTTTAAGCATGACAACACATACTATAATACTATAATAAATGCTATAATACTTGAAAACCATCTGATTTAGTAACTTTTGAAATAGAATGTAATTAGCAATACTGGAATAAAATTAAACATGAACAGAGTCCTGTCTTCCTTCTGAAGGTTTTTTAACTCTATTGCTCTTTATAGCAGTTTAGCCTTATGCCCTGGAAAATAACTAGATCATTGTTATCCTTGCATCTGTATGGAAAATCTAGTGAGAAATTCAATAATACAGTAAATAGGATATAATTATGCTGATACGTCAGCACCCAATATAGGGAATGTCTGTATCATGTTAATCTCTCTGTAAAATAAAGGTAATAGAAAGTCTCCAAAAAAAATCAATATTCTCTTTTAAGGCAAACATGAACTTTTCCTTTAAAATTTTTATTACGATTATTCATCTATTCATATATATATGGGATGGTTGTAGCACCACATGCAAGTACATGTCAGAGGAAACTGGCAAGAGTTAGCTCTTGTGGGATTCTCTTAGATGCAACATAATTTAACAACTATGTCAATGCAGATGACAAAACTTTATAATAAAGCTGCTACTGAAAGATCAGGGCCAGAATAAAGACTTGGGAACTGAATTACAACCCCAAAGGGAAGTTGTACAGCGTATTTAAAGGATGAAATGATAAAGCAAGGATGAGAAGGGTATCATTGTCCATCACATTTTGACATAAGGGGTTGAGCAAAGGAATTTCTACCTATCAGGATAGAAGTTGGTGGCTGGGCCTGGAAACATGAAATTAGTTTGACCCTGACAGCAAAATGGAGACATTGTCCTTGAGATCGTTGGACTCAGCTTACAAGCTGTAAGTGAGATGGTTGGACTCAGACAACTCTCTTCATATAACAGAAACTTCAGCCATTTGAGAAGTCCCCAGTTACCCTAGAGACCTTGAACTGAGTTTTCCCCTATGATTAAATGGAGTCTGAAAACAAAATGGCAGGACTTTCAACAAGTTTCTTTTTCTTGTTCCCAACATTCCCTTCTTCTACCTCATAGGTCTTGGGGTCAGTCTTGACAGCAAGCTCCTTTACCCACTGAGCCATCTCACCAGCCCAAGACTGTGGACTTTTGTAAAGGTAACAGATCATCTTAAATGTTGCTTCTCTCTAGAATTTTTGAGCTTAACTATTTGTAGGCATGCTAAATTGAATTTGTTTGATGGTTTTATATGTCATCTGTACAAAAATCCCTCATTGAAAGGAACATTGGACACTTTGGGGACAATACAAAGCTTATTGTGAAATATTGTGTTCTGCCATTATGTTTGCCATGAGGGTCTGTGCTGTGAGATGAATCACCTACTCCTTTATCTAGTTACTATGTCTGTTTGTACCACTTTCATTGTTTATTTATAGTTTTACATTATTATCATAAAAAATATTACTTATAATCCATAATTAAGAACTTTTAGATAACCAATTATTTGATATGTGTTAAAAATATTGTCAAAAGTAACTTCTATTTCACACCCAAAGCATACATACATGTATGCTTCTAATCATGTTTACTGACTATTTTATCAAAACATTTGAAATAATTAGGTATATTTTACTACCCAATACTCATTATGATATATTCCATCTATCATGTATATGTATTACATTCTTCATGTAGATTTAGATTACTTCATTTTGTAAGGTTAGCTTCTGTGATTGCTGCATATGTATTTATAGATGTTCCATAATATTTATGAGTAATGACATCATTCTTAAAAATATGCTCTGCTCCTTATACTGATCCACTTTGCATGTGCTTGCCTGTGAACATAACTAGATAGAAACAGACAAAGTCCTCCACAGCACCCCTACTAGACAGCTTGTTTCAATGAAAACAAGTCTTATGTCTGAGATATTGTAGTATGAATTCTTTCTGTCAGTGAAGCTCAAATGCACTCAAATAAGCCTCAACCTTTGCTTGGAGTCCAGTGAGTTTTGGTTTCATATTCTTTTCAATTTCTAACGGAGTTCTTCTCCTGACTCATCATCCCCTCTAGTATAAAACCAGTGTTTTGTTATTAAGAAAGTATAGGTAAAATTTTGACTGACTTAGACAGCAAAACAATCCACTATGGGGTCACTACAGGATGTCAGCTCTTTGCCAGCAGATAGCTGAGAGGAGAGAAGCCTGGACGTGTCAGATCTCTCTGGGGGTGAGCAGGATGGTAAGTGTTAACAGTCCGAGAAGAATCATACCAAGCCAGGAGTCTTGTTGAAGCAGGAACTCATTTTACTAAACTAGGCACTCGCTTATATAGAGAGGGAAAGGAGGTGGGTGCTTAGATATGGAGAGAGACGACATACAAGGTGGTGTGAGGTGACAATGACTAGATTCAGCCAAAAAGTTCATTTTATATCAGTGGTAGCTAAGCAGGCAAGGGCTTATGCAGGTTGTTGCTGAGTCACTTCCAGGGAGAAGTGAAAGATACAGGTCTTGAAAATCTAGCCAGGCTGGGCAGGTCCACTAGACCATGTTTGGAAGAAGGCCCAACAATAGGTTGGTCCAAGGACTCTCCTTGGATAAAGTAGAAGCATAGTAGACCTGTTAGGTTTTTATGGTAAGTTCACACTGTGGCAGATGCACAGGAATGTGATGTTGACAGTCATCTTGCACTTTAAGCATTGTCCTCAGTGAGAATCTAACTCAAGCATAGATAATGATTAGTGAATGTAGTTATGAGGATCCAGACAGCAATACTTGAAGCACTGATGATAGTTGGGTTTAGAGTATAAACTTTTGATGAGGGTGACTCAAGGGCTTAGAGTTTGGATTCACAGTGAAAATACCTCAAAGGCTAATTAACAGTCCATCGTTACATGATGTACTCACCTACAGATATATAATCCTGTTTGTGTTCAAGTGATCTTAAGCAAATTATGTTCAGTTATATCCACAGAGGGAGAGAATTTTAACAGGCTAGATTGAGAGTTTTCCAAGACAAAATATGTTATTTCATCATCTTCATTTCTTCCACCAGTCTATTTATGGACCTTACCACTTGCAGAGCAGTCACAATGTCAGACTCAAATCCAATACACTTTTCCTGTTCTACCTACCTGACAAAAGCCAAACGTAATTTTTCTATCTTTAGTTCCTTTCTCACATTCAGTTTTCTGTCACCAAAATGTCATGAGTGTTATATTCCAAGATCAACAGTACAGCACTGGAAGGAAGACTTCCTAATACTACCAGAAATCCTATCCAGAGTGGTTTGGAACAAGACAGTGCTTCTCCATCTTCTTCATCTCTCTAAGTTGCTAGGGGAGCAGTTCTTATCCTGTGAGTCACGACCCCTTTGGGCTCAAATGACCCTTTCCCAGGGATCACAAATCAGATGTTAACATTACAACTCATGACAGTAGCAAAATTACAGATACGAAGTATCAATGAAGTCATGTTATAGTTGGGGATCAGCACAACAGGAGTAACTGTATAAAAGGGTTGCAAGCATTAGGAAAGTTGAGATGCACTGCTCTAGAGGTTGTAGGTTAACATGAATGAGGTGAACATCTAACGCAACAAAGTTAAAACTTGATTTCATGACCTTATGGTTGTAAAGAAGCAAACACTCCAAGTAGATAATTTATGAAATACAAGCAATCACAAAGTAGAATGCAAAATTTCATTTAACTAGGACCCTTCAGGTGTACTTCCTGATAAATATCTTCTATGTAAACCAGATA